GATAAGGACGACTCGTAGAATTGAAGCCTATAAGCACATCCTAGAAGCAAAAGAGGGCAGAGGAAGAGCAATACTATAAATCACGACCTTAATTGACCAGGATCTGTTTTCCTGGTGGTATAGTTATGTCCTTGAATTCTAAAAGGCAATGCTGTAAATGAGACTATCTTCTTATGCCGAAGGGAGGATATCTTTGTTTATCTTAATCTCAATCTTATCTTACAGGCCTTTGAATACATTTCAGGTCCTTTTTTTAATAAGACATTTCAGATCTTAAATCCAACATAGGAACTGTATTGTAATGGGGAAATCTTTTCCACCTTTATCTAGCCAGGTGGGGTGTGAAATGTCTTGTCCACCTTTATCTAAGCCTTTCCCTTCAGTCATAATCTGAGATCTTAATTGTTCTAGGATTCAATGGTTGAAGGTTAAAAAATGGTTCTCACAAAAAATATTTGGCTAAACACGTGATACAGTTTATGTTGTTCGAACCACTGTCAATAAGCATGATGCGTAGAATTGAAGCCTATAAGCACCTCCTAGAAGCAGAAGAGGGCAGAGCAAGAGCAATACTATAAATCAGGACCTTAATTGACCGGGATCTGTTTTCCTGGTGGTATAGTTATGCCCTTGAATTCAAAAAACGTTTATTTGCTTGGAAGAAACCTTATTCGACTCTCTTTGATCTAATCTTTCTTTAGGATTCCATCATCAGTTAGAAATAAGTTGGAGAATATTATGAGAGGCTTTTCTTTTTCGAAAAGAGTAGACGAAACGGGTGGTTCTCATTTGGTTTATTGGGAGGTCTTCCAGAAAATGTGCGAGAATGGCAGGTTGGGCGTAGAAAATTTGTCCCACAAGCATTATGTCCTCTCTGGTTCATGAGTTGTGAAGGAAGGTGCCCCTTAAGAACCTAAAGCAACGTGGCATAGGATTTTGGTAGTAAATACGAGCATAGAATCTTGGTCACTAAGAACATGTACATAGGTTTTGGAACCTGAAGTGTTGTAACATGGCTGGTCTCTTCCTTGGCTATTTTGTGGTACACAAAGTTCGGAAGGAACAAGAGGATTTTTAAAGGTGTTGAACTTGGGAAGAAATGTGAGTTCTGGCCCCATTTTAATGGCTCCCTCTTGTGGATCAAGAACTAAAATGTTGACCATAGAAATTTCCTACTCAATGATAGGACAATAACTATTTGCTATTATCCCTAGACAAATACTGGCATGTGACCCTATGAGATGAATTCCTGGTGAGCTATGTGTTCAGATCATAATAGAAGAACTTTTCATCTAGATTCAAATTTCACGAAATCCGCATTAACAGCATAATTACATCAACACAACATATCAAGAGTACTAAGATCATGGAAAACAATCATCAACAATTAACGTTGACAGCATAAGAGATATATCCATTCACATTACTGAAACATACAAATATTTATTTCTCCAATATCAAACAGTCTAAGAACCACGAGATCATAGTGTTCACGATTCTAAATCCAGGACCATCTACTTTTTAGCGCTACTTTTACCTCCGGATGAATTACCTTCCGATGCCGCCTGAGCCGCCTTCTTTGCTGCCTTTTCTTGTAGCGCCTTAGCATCTCTGATCAGAATCCAATACCAAAAGAAAAATCAATCGCATTACAAAATTCAAAACGAAAAATAAAGAAGAAATAAGATAGACGAACCTTTCGCGGCGCTGCTCGGGGGTCAAACCATCGTCCTTGGTTTTACCCTTGCCGCCGGTGCGAGCCTGAGCCCTCTCTCGGTCCTTCTCCCTTTGGTTTCCTCGTAGAGATCTGAGTCAAGGTAAGCAAACTTGAAAGATTTCAAGAAATCTTCAAAATCAATTAATTAAAACACCTCAAAATCCGAAATCATGAAACAAGAAAACAAAATGAATCAAATATTCAGAAGGATATGAGTCATTTGAAGGTGAGATTGAAGTGGCTGAAGAAATTCGTAGATTGGCCTGGAGTTGGCCGAAGAAACGAATAATCAATCTCTAAAACAGAGAACCAACCGTCGGTATGAAAGAGCAGGGGGAATCGGCTATCCCCTTTTATAGTGCCCCACTTCTCTTCCTATTCTATTCTATCCATTTATTTTCTTTTCTTTTAAAATTTTTAAATAATATATTTTTATTTCTAAAATTTAAATTTAATTCATTTTAAAATTTAAATATTTTAAGAAGAAAAAAATAATAATAAAGTTATATTTAAACTAATATAAATAAAAAATAGAAAATAAAGAGGCCAATATCTACTTTAGGTGGACCTGGACTTGTGCTCCCTGACATATGTGTATTAAAAACCTTGAGTGGAAGCTCGTAAGAGGATGCTCAAAGAGGACGATATCTATTAGCCGTGGGCTTGAGTTGTGCTCTCTAGCCGATGCGTTTTAAAAACTTTGAATAATCTTAACAGGAAAAGTTCAAAAAGAATAATATCTGTTAGCGGTGGACTTGGACTATTAGAGATCAAGTCGATGTTTGAACTATTTTTATTCATTCTTAAACATAATGATGGTGTCCAAGTCATTTACTGTAAAGTCCGAGAATCAAAATAAACATTTTAAAATTTAAATATTTTATGAAAAAAAAAATAAAGTTGGAGATTTGGAACAAAATAATATAAATAAACAAAAATAAAAAAAATAAAAAAAGGATGGAAAGTAGTATGTCATTTGTGTCTTTCCACTAAGCCATTACGTCCCAAACCCTCTCTGTTCCTCTTCCTTTTCCTTTCCCGATGGCCACACTTGTTCTCTCCCACTCCTTCCTCCTCCTCCTCCTCCTCTTCCTCCTCCCAACCTCCGCCGTCGACGGCGCGTACTGGTGCGTGGCCCGCAGCGAGGCCAGCTACGAAGCCCTTCAAACCGCCCTCGACTACGCATGCGCCACCGGCGCCGACTGCACTCCGCTTCTGTCGAACGGACTCTGCTTCCTCCCGAACACCATCCAGGCCCACGCCTCCTACGCTTTCAACAGCTTCTTCCAGCGCAAGGCTATGGCCCCTGGCTCCTGTGACTTCGCCGGCTCCGCCACCATCGCCCAGACTGACCCCAGTCCGTTTCCTTTTTTTTATTTATTAAATTTATAAATATTTACAAATTTTTTAGAAATAAATAAATAAATACATTATCGATAAATTTTTATTATTATTAATCTTGACATTGGTGTTCTATGCAGGTTATGGATCTTGTGTTTATCCATCTTCAATCAGGTACGCTAATTTTTTATTTTTGTTTTTTTTTCTATTTTAAAAATAAAATATTTTAATTTTCCAATTTATTAAAATGTGCGTAGAAAAACCCTTTATCATATATATATATATATATATATATATAGGTATTTTGGTGGAGATTTCTTCATGTTCAAGTAAATGGGTTCACTTTTTAGAGTGTTATATTAATAATTAATTCTGAAAATCATATTTATTTGGCTTTTTTTTTTTCCCACTAATTTATTAATTTAAGATTCTTTTAAAAAATGTAATAAAAATTTCCGCCATTATTTTTAAAATTCTCGATTCTTTTAATTACCACTTTAAAATAAAGATTCTCGATATATATATATTTTTTTCTAGCCAAGAAAATAGACATTTCTCTTTATTCTATCTTTTTGGTACAATTTTTTTTACAGTGTTTTGAAAATAATAAATAACTTTTTTTTTTTTTTTTTTGCTAAAATAAATTATTTTCATTTAAATTTAGGGGGAAAAGGGAATGTAGTAACTTCTTCTACATCTTTCTGTGGGGTTCATCTAGGTTAGACACCGTTGGATCAGTCTGGCTGGGGCCCAGGGAGTGGTCAGATCCAACGGTGAGGATGGCATGGATTTACTTTCAAATTGTAAATCAGCTTTTTCCTGAAACGGTGCGTTTTGGGGAGTCTTGAAAGCTGGTCAAGAATGGTACATGTCAGATTCTGGTTGGTCATTGGTTACTGCAGTTGTCAGACCCCAACCAGCCTTCTTTTTAAATAAATTCTTTTGTTTAAAAAAAAAACAATTGTATTTTTAAAATAATTAAATACAAAATAAAAATAAGCTAATGAAACAAATTTATTTCGATTGTATTTTTAAAATAATTAATATACCTTATTTTCGTATTGTGTGTATATATATAGACACATATGTATGTATAGGTCGATCGGTCCTTCAGCTTATTAGTTACATTGTCTCTCAAATTTTTTAAAATTTATATAAAGAGGAGAATTAAGAATTATGTAATACAATATAGTATTCTAAATCTTGTGTTATTTGTGATGATTATCCAGTGCTGCAGGAGGAGCAATCACGCCGAGCCCTCCGGCTAACACAAGCCCAACCCCGACAATAACGGTACCAGCTACGACCACCACACCGAGCTTCAACAATGGCAATACGGGTGACATGAACGGTCTAGATCCAGTATACAACCCGGCATCAACTTCAACTCCAACCAACTCGAAAGCTTCTTCGAGTTTTAGGATCCCGAAACTCTTGTTTTCAATTGCTATCTCACTCGCTTCACTAACACTATAGGAGGAGGGCTATGGAGGGTTCATTCAGTTTTGTTAGAAACAGCATGTTCTTTTGTGAAAACTAAATGACATAGGCAATATCAGGTAGGGTTCAGTTCAGCCTTCACAAATCTCCCTCTTTCTTCACAGGATTTGCTCATTGAATTCAATGGTTCAATTTCATTCTTCTATGTTCCATTCTTGATTTCGTTATGATAGTTAGAACGGACATATGTTCGTACTCAACTACGAACATTATTAACTTCTAGTTTCAATGCTCCAACTTTTGAGTATCAACGACAACTCAAGAAGATGTTGAAAACATCTAAGATCCCGCCAAGGGGAACGAAGCATTTCTTATAAGGGAAGGGTATAGAAACCTCTCCCTAAAATATAAGAAGAGTCGGATTCTTATCCCACGGCTTCTTTTGGTATGATCTATACACTATGAATTCAAATTCAGGTAAAATAAAACAACGAAAGTTGTAGAAATGCTAAATCACGTTGTCATATATTATTAATTGCCTCGAGAAAATCGAACTTTAACGAGAGTCACAGAAGAAAACAAACCCAATTGAAACCGAGTATAATTCTGAACCTTCTCATTTAGCTATCTTTGTATTCTCACGGCCTGTGTTTGAATTCATCAGTATGAACCTAAGTAAGAACATAATGAAAAGCTCAGCAAAGTGTTGTGTGGCAATTAAGAACAGCAGGGGCTCTATCAGCAATATGTACCACGGTTATATTGTCACATATCTTCTTGTTTTCCATGTCTGTATGTATGTACCTTCATCTCATTGAGACAAACGTCTGGTTGTCGTACGATGTATATTATATCCCCGACAGATCTATACGAGTCCTGGTTTCGTTGCCATGTCCACAACGCATGAGTTTCGTTTTTCACCTGCAAAGAATACTCTTTAGTTCCCCACACATAGAACATCGCATTCATCCCGAACAAAGAACGAGTTTCCAGAGTGTATTTACGATACGACATGGAATGAAATTTCGTTCAAGCAGAGAGAGAGAAGGCGAACCTCCAAAATGCCATGGCCGAAGCTACTTTCACGATAAGCGCTATAATCAGGTTGCTGATCCCAGCAGAATTTTCCTTTAGCTGGGCCTGATGTAAAATTGAACGCACAGAAACCGCCCATGTATTCATCCGGTGTCGAGGACGGGTCTGGACAGTTTCCGGGTTCATCAGCATGTTCAATTGCCATTTTCTCTCGGTTACCTCCATCACCTACCGTTATGTAGACCGGACCGCAAGGATCCAAAGTGTAGTTATATACTCTATTTGACCTCTCATAGGCATGAACCTGATCGTGAATCGAAATCGTCAGATTATGCACGCACGATATTACGTGTGCAGCAGAAACAAATAAAGAGGACATACATGGCCGTTGAAAACTAAGTCAACTTTATACTTGTAGAGCAAGTCTTCCATTGCCACTCTCATGCACTCTGCTTCTCTATAATGAGAAGTGTAGGTGCTGTACCATGGTGGGTGCCATGTAGCTACCAACCATGGAGTAACTTTCCTATCAACTTTAGCCAGGTCTTGTTCTAGCCATTTGTATTGGTCACCTGCAATGGGCGAAATAAAGCACAATGGATTCAGCCATTTTCAATCAAAATCAAGCTTCTTAATCTAAAAGATTGTGAAAAAAGGGGCAGGTTGTGGATTTACCTGATCTGTCATATGAAATGTAGGCACCAAGCATTATAAAATGAATGCCACCTGCATTGAAAGAGTAGTAAAATGTCGAAGACGAGTTACTCTCGTTGGATGGGAATGCAAATCGAGAACTATAAGCTGCAAATGTTCGATTTTCAGCTTGTGGTTCGATCTCGTGGTTCCCTTCCACCACCATTAATGGAACTTCGGATATTAGAGGCTCCATATACCTGATAATAGAAAAACTATAAGAGATCAATTCCCCGCAGTTTTTCAACTAGCGCTTTGAGCTTTGAAGAAGTGAATCGTCTTTCCGTAAAGTTAGGTATTATTAACTGTGAGATCCCACATCGGTTGGAGAGGAGAGAGATCCCACATCGGTTGGAGAGGAGAACAAAACATTCTTTATAACAAACATAAAAGAAGGTTGCATAATGGTTCTAAGCATACCGAAGATTTGAAAGGAAGAAACGGGGGGAAAACCCGACTCACCTTCCCCAGTAATCCCAACGAGGCTGATAAGTTTCGTGAATAGGAGTATGAGGAAACGAACAAGAGTAACAATCAGAGCCAGTGCCATTTGTAAGATATAGGTTTGCATAACTCACATCCCCAATCAATAGCACAAGATCAGGATGGTTCTTCAAAATATGATCTACTGTTGATGTAGTGTTGTATGTAAGACCCAGATCACCAACCAATGCTATTCTATTAGGATAACTCTTAGGCCCAGAAACAGGCATGGTCCTGAAATAATGGATATCACTTATTTCTTCTGCAGCTGAAGGGTCTCCACATTGATATTGGTACAAAGTATCAGGCTCCAATCCTGTCAGAAAAAACAAGTGAGCTCCAAAAATCTTCTAGTAGAAGTCAAAAATTAGAATTGGAATCGATCGTACCCGTTAGACGAACATGGTGTATAATTCCAGATGTGTAGTTCTTGAGGCCTTCAAAGGGATAAAGTTGATTGTAGATAAGAGAATAACCCTTTGCTTGGTTTTTCATTGGCATGAGGAACTTCCCATACGTGACAATACTCGCAACTTTCTCAGGATCTAATGGCCGAATGGCGTCTCCAATTTGAAAGTCCCCTACACATTCATCGAATATATGTGAGATCCCACATCGTTTGAAGAGGGAAACGAAGCACTCTTTATAAGGATGTGGAAACCTCTCCCTAGCAGACGCGTTTTAAAAACCTTGAGGGAAAGCCCAAAGAGGACAATATTTGCTAGCAATGGGCTTAGGTCGTTACAAATGGTATCAGAGTCGGACACCGGGCGATATGCCAGCGAGGAGGCTAAGTCCCAAAGGGTGGACACGAGGTGGTGTTCCAACAAGGACGTTGGCCCCAAAGGGTGGTGGATGAAAGGGTCCCACATTGATTGGAGAAGGGAACGGCGAGGACGCTGGACCCCAAAGGAGTGGATTTGTGAGATCTCACATCGGTTGGAGAGGGGAACGAAACACTCTTTATAAGGGTGTGAAAACCTCTCCCTAGAAGACGCATTTTAACAACTTTGAAGGGAAGCCGAGAGGAAAAGCCCAATGAAAACTTGAATGAATTATTGTCTAAAGCATTCCAGAGTTTCTAAACGAAAAAAATGCAATGTTTCAATAAAAAACTGGCAACTCCTCGGCAGAAATATCAAATAGAGAAACCACCCGAAGCATGTTCATAATCAAGTTTACAATTTCTCTCTAATAGTTCTAGCAGTGTTAAAACGAGGGCCATCCTTACCGAATACTTTCTCTAATTCAAGCTTGTGTTAGGAGGGGTGTCTCTTAGGCATTACGTCGAACACTTATCATACACACGACCAGTTCACATAGAATTATCAGAGCTTTACTAAACGAGCAATTGTACAAACAAACAAGCAAGTTCACAACTAAATTAGCCATATTCAAAAAGAAGAACAAGAAGAATTTACTAAACCTGTGATCCAAGAAATCCAAACAGAGTCATAATCCGCAGAGAGAGCAACAGAAATCTGCTCCGGCACAAATTGGCCCCCATTCTTCTGAACTCTCGGATCAGTTTCCGGCAAGTCCTCGGCCTTCCCCCGGAAACTCGTATCAAGCGGAACAGTTACAGGCTTAAACGGCCCTTCTACGGTGGTCGGAATTCTTCCATGAACGGAACAAAACCTCAAAACAAACAATGAAGAGAGAAAGAGAACGGCAAATGGGAAGCGACCCATTTGCCTGATTCAGCAATTTTCACAACCCAGAAGAAAATTAAACTCCGGGATGAAGAAAATGAGAGGGAATGGGATTTAAATACGAAAAGAAACGTAAATGAGGAGCAAATCGAGTAGGGTAAATAAACAAACACGGTGCCACGTGAAGGCAATGAACAATGGCGACAAAGCGGATAACGTCCATCCTTCTTTTTCATTCGATTCGTTTCGGGAAAAGCGATGTTCTCCACAAGTCCGAATTCGAGGCTGACAAATTGCTGACACTGCGTTGTGCTGGCGGTTTCTTTGAACATTCCCGTTTATTGTTTCGAGGCGTTTTTTTTTTCCTTTCTAATTTTGGTTGAAATTTTATGTACTTTCATTCATTTTATTTTACTTTATCCAATTTTAATTTTTAATAAATCTTAATTTTTTTTATAAAAATATGTTTTCATAATTTATAATTTTTTAAAATGATATATTTTAATTTATAATGTTTTTAAACTCAATTATATTTTTATAAAAAGATATAATAGGTAATTATAATTTTAAATTTTCATAATAGTTAAGGATCAATTTTCATGTTTGAATTAAAAAAAAAAAAATCTAAATTTTTTTGTCGTATAATAATAATAATATAGTAAATAAAAATATTTTATGGTAAGAAAATAAATATTTTTTAAATTTATCACAAAATAATTAATATGATATGATTAATGAAATACTTTAATATATAGTCAAGTATTTAATTTTATGGGTAAGGACAAACTTTAAGGCATTGACTAAATAATTTGTGGCTTAAAATTATTATTATTATTTTTTTTTTTTTTGTATACTTTGGATTTCATTTCCATGTTAATTTTCATTTATTTGGTAATGTTAATGATGGTTCAAATTTAATTCTTTTCCTTTTTAATAAATTTTAATTATAGACCGAATCCAATATTCATCAATTTTATGGAAAATACAGTAAAATATGAGGTTTGTGACTATAAATTAGATTTTTTACTAAAAGTGATCATGAACCCGACAACTTGAATCGATTCAACCTAAATTATAAGAATTGAGTTCGGTTTAGTTTTCTTAGAAGCTAGTGGGTCGAGTTTGGGTTTAGTATGCTTAAAGTCGATTTGACCCAACCCGAACGGAATAAATACATAGAAAAAAACTAAGGTTGTCTTCTTGTCTATGTTGTGTGTCCCTTTCGCATAATTTCAAGCAAACATACTCATTTATAGCAGTGGTTCAATCTCAAATATCTCAAACATACTCGTTTAAATTTTTAAAAAAAAAAATTGAACTGGACAACGTAACCCGAAAATAGAAGGTTGGGTTAGGTTGCTAATTTGACTAACCCGAACTTTTGAGTTAGTCCAAAAAAATTCTTCAATCCGAGCGTAATACACCACTATTTTCACTACGGGTTTTTAATCATTTTTGTTAATTCTACGAGACAATCTTACTAAAATTAATATTATTATTATAAAAAAAAATGTGTATGATTACGATGATTTTAGTCTAAATGGGTCTGATTATTCAATTTTTTTAAAAAATAAATATTTATTATAATGCAACTAGATCTTAAATTTTCTATAAAAATTTTAAAAAATTGAGGTCGAATCCAAAATTATAGCAAATGAAACGTATTGGATAAATTAAATTGCATTTCAAATAGATGCCAGTGATTCTTCCGAAGATTTGAACCTTTTTTTCGTTGCTAATCAATTAGGGCTCTGGGAAATTGCGAGATTGATCCTACAAGTTCATTTTCCGGGCGATTCGAACGCCGTGAAAATCAGAATCTTTCGAGCGGGAAATTCAGAAGAGGAAGAAGATGAACGTGTTCAGATTGGCTGGGGATATGACCCATTTGGCCAGCATTCTGGTTTTGCTCCTCAAAATTCATACTATCAAGTCTTGTGCTGGTTCGTTTTCCTTCTCTAATTTTGCGCGTTTTTGGAATTTGACACTGTTTTTTTGCTTGTGAACTCTGTAATGCATTTCCGTTTTTGGAGCCAAATTGCATTCCATATCGTCTATGATTGGTCGTTCAAGAAAGGGGGAAATGAGTCTCAAACCCTAGATACTAGTTCTCAGTTTGGATAAGAGACGAGTTTGATATATTCTAGTCGTTGGCTGCCGAGCGATAAGAGTAGGCTGGAGTCGTCCTATCTACTTAGAAAGTTTTTCGAAGACTCTAATATTATCAAAATCAAGCCTCGCCCAACAACAGTACAATGCAGGGACTTCCCTCACACTTCTAATAGAACCAAGAGACTAGCTATATCTTTTGCGTGCTTCCTGTTGACTCCACTTCCATGGGAAACTAGTTCTCGGGTTGGATAAGAGCGAGTTTGATAAATTCTAGTCGTTGGCTGCCGAACGACAAGAATAAGCAGGAGTCATCCTATCTGCCTAGAAAGTTTTTCGAAGACCTTCTTGATAATCAAGCCTCACCCAACTACGATACAACATGGGACATATATTTTTTATCTCACACTTCTAATAGAACTAGGAGACTAGCTATATCTCTTGTGTGCTTTCTTGTTTACTCCACATCCCTCGTGTCAGTGGGATAGAGTAGCTCAGTTGTTTAGTGTACCAAGTTTGTACCGAGAGCAAGTTTAGAGAACTTGCCCATGCTTTCCACTCTCGTGTCAATGGGATAGACTAGCTATATCTCTTGCGTGCTCCTTGTTGACTCCGCTTCCCTCGTGCCAGCGGGATAGAGTAGCTTGGTTGTTTGGTGTACCAAATTTGTACCGAGAACAAGTGAAGAGAACTTGCTCATGCTTTCTAGACTCTAGCCTCACCCACCTACAGTACAACATGGAGACATTTTTTTTATCTCACACTTCTAATAGAACCAAGAGTCTAGCTATATCTATTGCATGCTTCCCTCTTGACTCCACTTCCCTCGTGTCAGTGGGATAGAGTAGCTATGGTTGTTTGGTGTACTAAGTTTGTATCGAAAGCAAGTAAAGAGAACTTGCTCACGCTTTCCAGGCCGTAGAGTGGCACGTGTAATTACCAAAACAAATATTGTTTGTATGGTTGGATGTGATGACAATTGGTGCTCATTGTAGAATGTGGAGAAGGGATTAGTTTGGAGGGAGTTCTTGATTTTCCTGCTCTTTTGGTAATTTGATTCGTATTAGAGCATTGAGCTATATATTGTTATGCTAGCATTATCATGTCTGAATCTGAGTACTGATTCTGCAGGCATTTCTTTGAAGACTCAAGAACTTTACGCCCTGGTTTTCGTTACCCGTTATTTGGATATATTTGACAGATTTGCATCAGTATATAATTTGATAATGAAATTAATATTTCTGGGGAGTTCTCTCTCCATTGTTTGGTATATGCGACGTCACAAAGTCGTGCGTAGATCGTACGACAAGGACCAGGACACGTTTCGTTATCAATTTATCGTGCTGCCTTGTCTGCTGTTGGCTCTGGTTGTTAATCATAAATTTACATTTAAAGAGGTACATTTAATGTTCCTTTTTCTTTTGTTTCTTTTGAACTGGATCATATCACATCCTAGGTTCACTGATCTCATCTATGCTGAAGATGTGTTAGTTCATCGCATTATAGATGTATGTAGCTTGGTATAATTTTTCTGCCCATGTTCTTTGATCTTAATGAATCGAAACGAGTAGGTTATGTGGACGTTTTCTCTATATGTCGAAGCCGTTGCCATTCTTCCTCAATTGGTGTTGCTACAAAGGACAAGGAATATCGACAATTTAACGGGACAATACGTCTTCCTTCTTGGGTAACTCTCCATTCCCAATCTTCTGAGTATTTGTAGCTTGAATCCGTACATAATCTCCTCGTTTTCTTCTCTTTTCTCTTTTCAGCGCGTACCGTGCATTGTACATATTGAATTGGATCTATCGCTACTTAACCGAACCTTACTTTGTTCATTGGATAAGTATGTTTCTCTCCTTTCTCACATACACGTGCACATACACGCACAGACGAAAATATTCGTTAACAAGGAACTAAATTAGCTACTCGTCCAACAAATTCACTCTTGCAGCATGGACGGCTGGTCTCGTGCAAACGTTGCTGTATGCTGATTTCTTTTACTACTATATCATGAGGTAAGTTCAATAACTTGATATGTATGTCCTCAATCCTGGGATGATTTTCTGACTCCATTTTAATCGATGTCTCTCAGCTGGAAGAACAACGTCAAGCTTGAGTTACCAGCTTAGCTTAAAAGGGTTAGCGTTAGAATTGTGTTAAGCTTTGGCAGAAAACGTAGCTTTTCTGTCAGTTTTGAATTAGTTGTAGTTTTGGGGACTTTATTTAAGTCGGGACTTTTTTTCAATCCTTTTGTAAGTTTACACTCTATAAACAAAGTCCTATTTGCACCTTCCTTTTATAAATATTAGATGCTTCTGTACTTAGCTCTCAAAATTGGCATTTTTTTTGCTCTCAAAATTGGCATTTTTTTTTTATAAGTGTTGCAAACCTCTCCCTAATAGATACATTTTAAAATTGTGAAACTGATGACAACACGTATTGAAGTTAAAGCAGACCATATCTACTAGTGGTGAGTTCGGACCATTACAAATTGTATTAGAGACCAATACCAGGTGGTGTGCCAATAATGACAATGGCCCCTAAGGGGTTGGATTTGTGAGATCTCACATCAGTTGGAGAAGGAAATGAAGCATTTGTAGTTGGAGAAGGAAATGAAGCATTTGTGAACTCCCTAGTAGATGCGTTAAAAGCCCAAATATGACATAATTATTTCAACAATTTTGGAACTCTCAAATTGATCTAGATGTAAGAGAGGCATCTGGAGATCAAAATGGCGTTCCACGAGCATCATGGGGAGGGCTATGTTAATTGGTAGGCTAGCTATCATTTCAACTATAAACAAATAAATGGAGAAAGATACAAGGGATAAGAACATTGCAGTATGGTCATTTTCAAATCTTCCTTGTGCATTTCGATTTCATTTTTCTTCGGTACATCGGATGCTGGTACGACAAACTAAACCAGACACTTCCCTTTGGACATTGGTATCAGCAATAGCTAACAATGTATATAATGATATGAAAAAGGTGAATTCGCACCTGTATAAGAATATGCAACTGATCCATTTACAATGTTGTTCAACCTACAAACCTAACCTTCATATCAAAATGTTGATCATCACTTATCAATATAATCTGCAGATTGGATGATCCTCAGAAGCTCCTTCAAGTTGGCCAATATATGGCGTGGACCCAAACTCTTCACACCAATAAAGTTCAGAAGCTGCTCCAA